AAACTGGCCGGCCCGCCAGGGTGCTTACCCTGGCGTGCCAAATGTTGCCGATCCCTGTTTTGAAGCATCTAGTGCTGGCCACTTTCTCAGCAGGATATTGGACTGGATGGACCACATATCTGATCCAGTATGGTGATTCTTGTGTTCCTATGAATGGAAAAAGAGATGGGGAGTGAGGAAAAGAAGCTCAGATTTGGAGACAAAGCAGTAGCCATCATAACCATCCAGGTTGGGATTACCAATTTCTGATACAATGGGAGAGTCCCCAGTTTTCTATTTTTGATGTAGAAACAAAGTTTGTGCACTGTCATGCACCCTGCTTCTGCCATGTGAGAGGCAGCAGCACGTCCTGTATACAAGGGTAATATTAAGATAGTGACAGACAGTAGAAAAACGTATTAAAAGAGAGGGACAGATACAGACACCTATGTGTAACAGGGTAGTCTGCCCCTTTAAGGGTGTCTGGAGGCCTGGGACCAACCTGCCCTGTTCAATTATCAGACACAGTGCTGGAAGGGTAAAAGCTCCCTATAAAGGGATGAGAAAGCTCAGTTGGAGGCCTGGAGAGTGTTGTGTATTAGTCCTTCCCAGATGGGGGAGATAGATCAGTGGCCTACATGTGGTGGAGAACACAGGTTGGTGAAGTTGGGTTCAGAAGATGGTGCAGTGATTACAGGACCTTGCTACCTGTTGGTTGTGCTCAGAGACTAATTCTGTGGAGACAATTATTGACTGGTGGTTCTAGACCCATTCTTGTAGATCCTGCCTGTGGGAGCCCAAAGTTGGGTAAAGTGGTTTTGGCCATCATCCAGGGAGAGATCTGAGAAGAGTGGAAGTGTCCCATGGGGGAGAGCAAGAATGGGAGCTTGGGGGAAGCTCTCAAGGGGTCAGAATCCTAGCTAGCCCTAGACGTAAGGTTTCAGAAGAGTTCAGCTCCACAGTGTTGGAGAATTTCTATTGAGGGGGAGAAGTCCTGGTGGTATGTTACCGATCCAGCAAACCTGGGCACATCAAGAGAGATTGCCTACTAATAAAGTGCAATTATGCAGGGTGCTATTTCAGCCAAGGGGTGGGAGCAGGGGAGGGGGGTCACTGCCACCTAACAATTCCTCCATTAAGTAACATGTAAGGAATCCATTAAAGGGACACACAAAGCAGGTCAGAGCACCACAAAAAGGAGTTCTTCCAGTGAAGTCTGTAAGGGGCACCCCATCAACCTCCAATTTCATAATTCTGACAAATTGATGCCATCACAGGATGAGACAAAACCAATTTCAAGGCTTGTGTGAGGGGGAGAGGGAGGTGGACAGTTCATGGCTTTGCAGGGAGGACCCCAATCAAACATCCTCCTGTGGAGGGCTCCCCAAGTTTATGGCTTTTCAGAATAGAACTCCTCTGTATGGAGAGGTATTTTCATGGCTGTGTAGGGGGACCCTGCTCCCATATGCTCTTCATGGGGAGGGATCCCCAGGCTCACGGCATTGCAGAGCACTCCTGTTCAATGCATTCACTGGGAGGGGTCCCCAGTTTTCTGGCTCTCAGGGGATACCCAAGCCAATGCATTTCATGTCTCGCAAGCGAGGGGCTTTGCTGGCATAAAGAGGGCTCCGCACCAGCAACCGCGGGGGTTCGGAGCCAGCCGAGCGTGGGGGTGACTCTCGACCAGGTGCAAGCTCAGCTCCTTCCCTAGCAATACCCCGTGAGGGGCGAGGGTCGTCCCTTACCCTGGGCGCTCGCTGAGTGGGATGAGGGAACGCAGGCGCACTGGAGAACCCACGGGCGGCAAGAGAAGCGCGTGCGGTCGGTGTCTCCATGGCAACCACGGCCGGGGACCTGAGCTCGCGGCCGGGGCAGCGCTCGGGAACCCCCATGGCAACGGCCGCAGGTAGCCGCCACGGGGAGGGGGCTGCCGCCTGGGCCCCCGGACTCTGACCCCCAGCCCCGGGGAGCCCCAGGCATTCAGAGCGCCGGTGACGCCCCCGCGTTTTGTGGGCGACACGGCGTGTAGGGTGCACACGCGGGCAGGGCCGCCCAGGGGATTAATGGGGGCCTGGGGCAAAGCAATTTCAGGGGCCCCTTCCTTAAAAAAAGTTGCAATACCATAGAATACTATATTCTCCTGGGGGCCCCTGTAGGGCCTGGGGCAAATTGCCCCACTTTCCCCCCCCCCCCCCGGGTGACCCTGCAAGGGGGTGGGGGATATTCTC